TCTGGGGTTGCCATTAGGAGCAAATCCAAGGAGAAAGGCTGCTTGGAAACCTGTGATAGTCAAGTTTAAGAGCAAGTTAGCTTTTTGGAAGAGGAGGTATCTATCTTTTGCTGGAAGATTAACGTTGATCAAGTCCATTTTGACAAGCTTGCCAGTTTATTTCTTATCCATCTTCAAGTTGCCAGTGGGCATTGCAAAATTGCTTCACAAAATTCAAGCTAACTTTCTTTGGGGAGGGTCGGAAATTAGGAGGAAAGTGCACCTAATTAGCTGGAAGGAGATATGCCTAAGTAAAAATAAGGGTGGGCTAGGGGTAAGAAACCTAAGCTAGGTTAATGAGTGACTACTAGTTAAATGGTGGTGGAGGTATGGAAATGAGGAGGCAGCTTTGTGGAAAAAAGTGATTTGTAGTAAGTATGGCGGTGTAGGTGGCAGGTGGTGCCCCTTATTTATTAGTTCGGTGGGGCTGTCGTATACGTGGAAAGGCATAATATCAGTGGCTGAAGTTAACACTGCTCTGCGAGAATTTTTCTTGCAAAATTTCAGGCTAGTTGTTGGAAATGGCAGGAGATTGCATTTTTGGTCTGATAAGTGGTGTCACAATCAAAATCTGAGTGTGTCTTTTCCCAGATTATTCTCATTATCAGTTGAAAAGGACGGAAAGCTGGTTGATTTTGTACATAGAAGAGTGTCAGATTCAGATTGGAACCTGGTCTTCAGACGTCCCCTCCTAGCATGGGAAGTGGAGGAAGTGCAGAAACTTAATGATTTCCTGCAGAATGCACCTAGGCTCAATGAAGGGATGGTAGATTCTTGTTCTTGGGTAGCTCACCCGTCTGAAGAGTTCACTGTGGCATCAGTGTGGAAGTGGATGGAAGCAAGTCAAGGGGTAGATATTACAGTTACTAGGTGTATTTGGATCAATTTAGCCCCTCCCAAAGCTCAATTCTTGAGTTGGCTAGCGTGGAGAGGAAGGTTAAAGTGTTCTGAATTTTCCCTTATTTTGTTATTCAGAATTTTTTTCATAGGAAAAATGACTAATCAGATGAATGAATGGTTTGTCATTACTGACACAATAACACTTGATAGCCTTTAGCTAGCATGGGTAGGGAATTAGAGATCTTGTCCTTGAAGCATGGGCACTTTGAAAAACATGAAGTACTCGTACCAGAACTTTTAATGATACTTTTATATGCGTACTAGGTACACAAAACACATACCCAAATTTCTTTCATTAAATTTTGTTTGTATCCCATAAGTACCTAATATATACTCAAGTAGTACTTCAACCAAAATAATATTTTCTTTCGTATAAGTGAAAGTAGTTTCATTTGACTTTTTCCTATAGTTAACAAGATTTTAAAATTAAGCTTTGTCTAGTAGGTTCATTAACATATGACATTTAACTTTGCTTTATATCTTACTTTCGGCATTAAACTGCAAGTTGTAGGTAGGTTAGAACCTTAACCAACAAAACAATTTAACTAATTTTTGCATTACACTAAATTAAAAATAAATATTTTTACAAACATACCCCGCCTTACCCGCACTCTACATTTTTTTAGATTATGCCATATCGACGTACCCATATTGTACCAATGCCTGTATATGTGCTTCATAGAATCTTGTTGATTGTACTCTTACGTTTAACAACATTGGTTGAGGACAATAGGTGAATCCTAATCATTTAATTCGGAATTTCGAGTACACTACACCTAGATTCAAAACTAGAAATCAATTTCACTCAAAAGGATCCCCAACTATCAAATCCTCACTTAGAGTGCACCTAATTTTGAAACCAGATAACAATTATGCAAGAAGTACATAATCGCATAACCCAAGACAAACAATGCTTCATAATTAGTTTTTTTTTTTGTTAACAACACTGTTCTTTTCATATACTACCTTGATGAATTCCTGATCAAAAACAGTCTCTGCCTCAAAGTCTGGTGCTGTATTTCAAACAAGTGGAAGCTAACCTTGTTGCAAAGGGGAAAACTTAGGGATCATGGAAATTTTTTCATGAAAATGATCATGAAAAAGTTATAATTCTTGGATTACCTTGATTAGTGTATGGTATTTTATTTTAAGTGTAATTCAAGGGTCACAAAGCTTTCATGATTATTTTCATGAATGGTTTTTCATGATACCTACCATTGCTGAAAAAAAACCCGAAAAAGAAAAAGGGAAAAAAGAAGAAGCAATGTATACTCTAGATTCATTTTAATGTTGGTATCCTCATACAAAAATCAAATTCAAACCACACGTTATATCTTTTAATAAATTACGGTGTTTGAGTTTTATAAGAAATATAAAAATGAAAGTGAGAGTTTCTCTTCATGTGAGTAACACTGAGTAAATGGGTACCAAATCAATCACAAAATATAATTTTGATTATGCATTTTAGATGGTGAGATACTATATTATGGAGACGGTTTCACTCAAATTACTTTATTGTAAGAACAAAAATTACATTCGAAGTCTCTGTAATTTGTCTCTTATGTCAATTTTCTATATGCAGTTCATTGTATTAATTTTGTGATTTAATTTTTCATATAGTATTAATTTAATCCAATTGATAATATTTACTATAAAAAAATAAAAATAAAAAAGCAAAATCAAGAGCAAAATGATAAATTAAATGAAATATTTGAAATTGTATATACCAACTCTTCAACCACTTGACATGAGATGAGACCTTCGTATCACCCGTTTGACAAATCAAGCAATTATAATGGTAGCAAATGGACGACTCGTCATCTTTAAAAGAGAGGCTTTTTGCAGTTTTGAAGGACAATTTCAAATTGTATGCCAATTCTTTAATTGTTTTGAGGAATCAATGGATCATTTTGTCATTGATTTTAGTTTAATTTTACAAAAAAATTCTTATTAATTGAATTATACTAACATAATATGAAAATTTTAACGATAATGTTATTAGTGGGACTAAATTGACACAGATATATATTAAAGGGAACTCTGGTGCAATTTGTTGTTATTGTAATTTTTGTGATCAATTCAATGATCCATAATGCTATATTTACCACCCATCTACTTATATTACATTTCAAATATCATTTCATGTGATACAATCACAACTATTAATGCAATGGGTCTCACATAAATTTCATTAATATCCTATGGTTGTGATTGTGCAATATGAAATGATATGTGAATTGTGGTATGAATATATGATAAATGTAGTACTATTATTTTATGATTGGTTTTGTGTATCTGAACTTAGATGAAGATATAAACTCAGAGGAGCACGAATTCATATAGATCATTATGATTCCAGAGCTAAGTCGAGTTTCCAAGGCTGTTTAGATTATCAACTAACAAGGAGGGCTCACTTTCCAGATTCTATGAAGGGAAACCAAACTCGGAAGAATGGGAGTTGTTTCTCAAAAGACCTTTGTATGAGTGGGAAATGATTATTGAGGCTTCAAGATTGGCTATCACTTTGAACTCTGCTCCAAACCTGGGACAGGGGTGTACAAATTGTCCTACCTGGAATGGTATAGTTGTAGGAGGATTTAAGGTGGATTATTTGTATAAATTTTGTGACACATTGCTTGGCCCACAGATCAGAGTTTGCAAATTTGTGTGGAATAAGGATATCCCCCCTAAGGTACAATTTTTTGGATGGTTGGCTTGAAAAGAAAGAGTCAAGACATCTATGTTTCTACACAGAATTGGTATTCTGAATAGCAATGCAGCTAATGTGTGTGTGTTTTGCAAGAATGAACCTAAATCAGTTGTTCATCTATTGCTCCAATGTTGCCCTTTCTCCTAGTGTGTTTGGTCTGAAATGATGCAGTGTTGGGGAGTTGAGTGGGCAATACCTAGAATTGTTTCCATTGGTGGTCTGGTGGAAATTTCAAGAAGGAAAATAGGTTGTGGAGGGGTTGTTTAGTTGTATTTTGGTCTCTCTGGAAGCTTAGAAATGAGTGTGTCTTTAATGGGGCTCAGCCTAAGGGATATGATTTTTGTGAGCTTGTCAAGATTAAAATAGCATTATGGCTTAAAACTTCAATCCAAGGATTTCATTACTCAGTTAATGATATTGTGCACAAACTGAGACAGATAAGGGGCTGCATCTGACTGTTGCTGGTTTAAGAATGAGAAGCAGAGCTTGAGTTAATGTCTGAGGAGCGGAGCTTGAGGAACATTGAGTTTGGTGGTTGGGCTGTGTGGTGGTGGTGGTGTTGTTTTTATTACATTGAGTTTGTTGCTGTTGTTTTTGTTTCTTTTTGTTGGTTCCTTACCAATTTTGAGGCTTGTGCTAGCAAGTGACTATGTATTTTTATTAGTGCCAACCTAGTTGGGATCTTGAAATTTTACTATGATACTCTTTGCACTTTCTCCCCATTTATTGATATAATTCATACTTTGAATGCTTGTTTTCATCGATAAAAGCTTTTCTTTTGTAAATATATATATATATATATATAAATGATTCAAGAGCTAAGTATCCCAAAAATACATCAATATTCTAAGTATATTTCTGAATACATATACATACATATATATTGTGGGAGGTAAAATTTGAGGTACATGTCATATATCACTAAATCAACTTGTCATAACACGTGTGTCAGCAAATCATGAGACATATTTTTGTCGACACCACTAGCAGCCTTCACATATTAATAGTATAAATCGATAGATAGAAGATATATATATTTATTTCAAAACTATTCTGCTATCAATAATAATTGAGTCAAATAAATTACCAATAAGTCTTTTTTTTTAGAATTATTACCTATTAAGTTTTATTAATAAATTCATCAAGTGATAAATCTATCAGTCTCTCTTATTTTAATGAATAAATTTACAGTAATAAATTTATCAATCAGAGCTTATACCTAACTAAGTCTAATAGGACTAATTGATGATAACTACTCTATAACATATTGATTAAAATAACTCAAAATATCAATGCATTGCAATATGTCTTCTTCCTTTTTGGCCTTCATATATAGCTCCCTCCTTTGCTTCTTCCCAATTCAAAATCGTCTTCTCTCTCTCTCTCCAAACATTAAATCTTTCTGTATATTGATACAAAACACAAAACAATAAAGAGATGGAACATACAAATCTACCAGTAGCAGCCAGAAGGTTATGGCACATAGTACGTGTGTTGTACTTCATGGTAAGGAAGGGCATATCAAAACGAAAATTGATGGTTGATCTCAACATGATGATGAAACGGGGCAAGATTGCAGGGAAAGCCATACACAACCTCATGTTCCACCACAACCACCATTCCTCCACCTTCAACCGCCAATCACACGACCGACACCTGTCCTTCTCCGCCCCACACGAATACGAGTTCAGCTGCAGCAACACAAATTATTTTTGTCTCTAAAAATTTGTCTTTAAAATCTTAATTTCTTGTAGTGCACCGACGATGACATAATGACCGTTGACGCAGTTAAAAAGGCGTTGGAGATGATGAACAGTGAGGCAGGCTCGTCGGTGTTGCCGGATTTCTTGCAGAGTCCGATGATGGTGCCTGACATGTTGTACAGTGAATTGTCGTCACCGGCATTGCCGGGGTTTGGACCGAGCCCAATGGTGAGGCAGCTGAGGATAACGGACTCACCGTTTCCGTTACGGGACGTTACACAGTGGCTCTACGTTGAAAACTTAACTCTTGCTTGTGTTCGTTACATTATAACGTCCTGAATATGAAAAAATAAAAATAATAAATTTATATAATGATTTGAGGAAACAAAACACAGTGGCTATTGTTATTTGCTGAAACTCCTGCTTGTGTTCGTTACATTATAACGTCCTGAATCAACTTGATGTTATTTTTTTGATTGCACTTTCGTAAAGCCTACCATTGCCCTCTTCTTTGGCTTTTATGATTATATTTGTGTTCCCTTCCACTATAGAGGTGTCCCCTTTTAGTACATCAGCAAAAGATCTGTGCCCCACATATGTAGCTTTGCCCTTGATATTAGTTGTATCCAAGCATCTTCTGGTATCCTGAGACTTTCTCTTGCTCTGTTCAGTTCTGCTATTCCTATCATAGGTAGCCATTTTGACCACAAACATCATATCATCCACCAAAAGGCCATTCGCTTTTTGGATGGTAACAGATGCAGCTATACGACAGTCATAAAGCACAAACCCGAATCTTAAGTTTGTCGTTTTCCTTCTTTTAAAAGGGATGAAAGCATCCTTCACGATCCCAAACTTGGTAAAAAGTTTGAACAAAGCTTTGGCGTCCATTACTGATGGAATGTTACCTACGAATACAGTGAAGAAACCATGTTTTCCTTCCTTACTCTGAGCGCCACCGCCTCTCCACTATCTTGCCACTGGAATCTAGCAACTATTTACTTGCACCATCCTCTCTCTTTTTTTTTTTACACAACTCTCTATATTAAACAATGCACAACATGATTCCTCAAATTATTTAATTATACAAGACAATCACTTTGTAAATGCTAATCACGTACAATGCACGTGCACATTTGCTCATTACATATGTAATGACTTGAAAATTAAATTTTGAAATTAATGTTGTTGTCTAATAATAAAGTTCCTTTTGTATTTGGTTTCTGAGAAGACAATAAAACATATTTGAAAGCTTTTCAAAGCCTCTAGACATTCATTTTCAAAACTTGAACATTTTCCTTCTCTTTCTTATCGTGTAATAATTGTGTTTTTCAACTTTTGTTACTTTGAAAGAAACAATAATGAGAAGATTTTGTTTTCCAATTTTTGAAATTAGTATTAATTGGTATAGCCGTTGAATATGACCGTTGCCATTTTGAAATTTGAATTTCTAACGGTCAAAATTTGTCTCTATATATTCTAAGACTTTTCTTCTAACATTTTTATACAGAACAATTTAGCATTATATTTTCCGTTTAGACTTATCTCCACCATCTAACCTTAAGGTGAGCATAGTATTACGTATGTTTCAGTTGATGCGTATTTCTTATTTTTTTCATAATATTAAATATATTTAATTTGCCACTTTACTTTGTGTTGATACTATAACAAATTAGAGCATTTGTGTATATATTAAAATGTTTTTATTTTTATTTTCTATTATTGTCACGTATCTTGTTCCTTTGAACTGTGCTACGAGCCTTAAATCCTTTTACACATGTTTCGTATCTTTTTAGTTTTTATTTTACTATTTTTGGTTTAAATAAAGTTCGTGCATTTTGATTTTTCTTTATTGAGTATATTTGAGTATGTTTGTAAGACATAAAAGATTTCACTTTAGGATCCATATTCTATTTTTGTATTTATATCTTACCTAATTCACTTGACGTTAACGTGAGTTTGACTTATTTTTTTTGTAGTCTCAAACTATTTGTTGTTATCAATATTACTTTGTGATTGCACAGTCGCACAAGAGAAATGGATATTGTCATATATGGTGACGGTACGACCATGTTTAGAGATGAAGAATTAAGAGACATAAGTGAAGTTGAAAAATGGCTAAATTTTATTGAAGTTTAGTGTTTATTGAAAACTAAAGACCATGGCAAGCAAGTTGGGAAGCTTAAGATTTTGGCTGATGGAAAACTTGAAATCAACTGTAATTGTGTTCCTGATTGTCAACAAGGCAAGTGATCTCTCTCTCTTCCCCTCTCTCTCTCTCTCTCATTCACACACACACACACACATCGCTTTTCCTTTTTCCAAGCTTACACTACAAGAAATATCACTTTTGGCTACCAAAATATTGGTCGCCAAAAGTCACTTATTTAGTCGCCAAAATGATTTAGCGACCAAAATTTTTCGTCGCTAATCTCGTCGCCTTTGCCCTGTCGGCGATAGTATTGGCGACTAAAATCTGTTTGGTCGCCGAAAGTGTACACATTTGGCTACTAAATTGGCTTTAGTCGGCAAAAGGTATGTTTCGCCTACTAAATAATTGGTCGCCGATAATCAGCATTTGGCTACGACTTTGAGTTTAGTCGGCAAAATATAGGTTTCTGCCACTAAATAATTGGTCGCGGAATTAGGCTTTTTGGCTACCAACCTGTTGTGGTCGGGGAAGGTTCACTTTTAGCTACTAAAGAATTGGTCGCCGAAAGTGCACATTTGGCTACTACTTTGAGTTTAGTCGGCAAAAGGTATGTTTCTGCCACTAAAGTATTAGTCACTAAAAGTGCTACCATAATTTTAGAATAACTATTATAGACCAAACATTTTTGTCACCAATACAATACATATTTTTAGTGACTAAGTAATTTTTGTCATTCTTACTTTTGCCCACTAAAAATTTCGTAGCCAAAAGCCTGCTCACATTCACTTCTTCATTTTTTGCCACCAAACATTTTAGTCGCCAAATGATACCATATTTTTTCCGTGACTAAAAAATTTAGTAGCCAATACTTTCTCTATCTCTATCTCTTTCTCAATTGTTTTAGCTACTAATTATTTGGTCGCAAAAAATTAATGGGTTATGTTTTTGCTACTAAATTCTTAGTCACCAAAACATTTGATTACATATTTAGCTACCAAAATATTTGGTGGCCAAATACTTTAACATTTTTTTTTTAAATAAAATATTTGGTGCACCTGTATCCATTATTAA